TTTTCCATGAGGCTGTGGTTTTGTTTTGTTTTTCACCTCCCCCTTGCCCCCCAGGAAGCCGCCTGGATGGTGACAGATGAGTGTATTCAGATCATGGGAGGCATGGGCTTCATGAAGGTGAGTGTAGACATCCCCTCGGTGCTGGGATCCATTGGGCAATCTCCTTGCACCTGTCTGGCACCGGGATCCCCCCCTCCCAAGCTGATTTGCCTCCTCTCCCCCGGTGCTGTGATTCTCCCTTCTTAGCACCTGCTCTGTAGAATTTGGTCTTATATTTCAGGGTGCTTTGGGGTTCTTGTTTGATTCCCCAGTGTCAGGATTGCCCCACCCCCATTCCCAGCCAATCCCCCCCAACCCTCTTCCAGTGCTCAGATTTGTCCCTCCCAGCCAATCTCCCCCTCCTCTCCTCCCATGCAGGGGCCCCCTTGGCTAACTCCCTCTCCCCCGCCCAGGAGGCTGGTGTGGAGCGGGTGATGCGGGATCTCCGGGTCTTCCGGATCTTCGAGGGCACCAATGACATCTTGCGACTCTTTGTGGCTCTGAATGGCTTCCAGGTTGGGGGGGGGGGGCCCACAGGGCTGATGGAGGGATCTGAGGAGGATGTGGGGGGATGTGGGAGCCCAGACTTGGGAAGGAAGAAAGCATGTGACGGTTGGTTAGGGGCTGTGATGGGGTGAGTATATGAGGGGGGATCTTGAAGGGGGGTTGTGGGGAGGGGGAGATCTTGGGAGTGGATCTCAAAGAGGATCCGTGGGGGAGGGAGATTTGAGGGTGGAAGATGGTGTATGGGGCTGGACCTCAAAAGGAGGCTGTGTGGGAGAAGGATATGGGGTTGTTGGGAATTGGGTTGTGGACGGGGGGCGAGGATCTCATTGGGGAGAAGGACTGGAGCTGATCTCGGGGTGAATGTTGCAGGAGAGTGGAGTTGCCATGGAGTGGTCAGCAGACCTTGGCAGTAGGAGGCTGTTGCAAACCTGGCAAAGGTGGGGGAGGCTTTGATTTCTTCCCTACAAAGCACTGAGTACACCCAT